TCTCCGCTATTTGCCTCACTAGCGGCGACGTTTTCTCCTTCGTAATTCTACTTCCTCTCCGTTTCTATTCCACTGCTCATTCTATCCGCATAATCACTTTCTTCGTCGCGAATAAGACATATCGGTTCGATTCGTGCAAGCTGGACTAGTTCCCGTCGAACACCGATGGAACGGCCATTTTTCGATTTCGCACCACGGCACTCGTAATGCTTCTAAATGCCGCGAGATAGCGGCCCGAGTGCTCGATCGATGTCTCCCTACTTGCCTGCCTACCTCCTCTGTCTTTTCCCACAATAATTTCAAACTTTTCGCCACTCGCGATTTACGATTCACGATCCGTCATCGATCTACGATACATTTAATGCTTTTCTTTTCTTCTCTCTCTCTCTCTCTCTCTCTCTCTCTCTCTCTCTCTCTCTCTCTCTCTCTCTCTCTCTCTCTCTCTCTCTCTCTCTCTCTCTCTCTCTCTCTCTCTCTCTCTCTCTCTCTCTCTCTCTCTCTCTCTCTCTCTCTCTCTCTCTCTCTCTCTCTCTCTCTCTCTCTCTCTCTCTCTCTCTCTCTCTCTCTCTCTCTCTCTCTCTCTCTCTCTCTCTCTCTCTCTCTCTCTCTCTCTCTCTCTCTCTCTCTCTCTCTCTCTCTCTCTCTCTCTCTCTCTCTCTCTCTCTCTCTCTCTCTCTCTCTCTCTCTCTCTCTCTCTCTCTCTCTCTCTCTCTCTCTCTCTCTCTCTCTCTCTCTCTCTCTCTCTCTCTCTCTCTCTCTCTCTCTCTCTCTCTCTCTCTCTCTCTCTCTCGTTAATTTCGTATTCCATTGTGCGTAAGTAATAAACGGCACTCGGTCTTCGATATCACGATATCGCTCGTTTTCGTTTCATTCTCTTCGGCGTGTGTTCCGTGCAGCACGAAGGAATGATTTACGATATGGTTTTTCGCGATAACGTACGAACAAGTAAACGAGATCGTTGTTACGGAGAAGTTCGTTTTCGATGACCGTGAAAACTGTTATTCGATAGCCGGTAGTAAATCGTTTGAAAAATCTTTCAAATTCTTTCGTATTATTTTTAACGATGACCGATACGTTAGGTTTAGTTTTTTCGCGCGAGACAAAAGCGAGAGAAAGAAAATAGTCTATATATCGTCGATAGTTTCCGGGGAAAGAGGAAAAAAAAGTGAGAAACCGGTATCATTGGCTGCATTATCAGCTCGACGTCTAAATACGCGCATGTTCGTACAAGTTTAACTAGGAAGATGGAAGTTAAATTACTCCCTTATGATTTCGAGAGGCTGGTCCTGTTAAAGGTAGAGGGTAAAGACGGAACGCGTGTACACGCGTACTGGGGGCCTCCTCTGATTCGAAGGGAGCTATATGGGCTATATTATTAATTTGAATAAAATGTTAAGGCGAATAGACGAGCGAACTCGACGATACTCGAGACACGGGAAACAACGATATCGCGTACGAGCTCGTAAAACGCAACGTACGATAATCCAGTCGTTACACTAGATGGTTACTCTCGCGTAATTATGTAATTTACCAAGACGGCATTCGCGACGTTAATAAGTCGAACGAGACCCGAGCGAAACGCGTGTTTCCTTAGTTCGATATTAGTTCGACGTAGAGTCGCATTCGATGACGAACGAAATTCGAAACTCGAAACAGCGAGTCGAGAAAAAATGGAAAAATACGTTCGGTTCGATTTTGGCCGTGACCCGAGGAGGGCGGAACGCGTTTCGTATCGGTGTCGAGAGTGCCGAACGATTCTCGATGGACACCGTTTTAACGCGAAAATCGAACGCGCCACCGATATCCGTTCGAATTCTAGTCATCTTTGTTGTTCGCGCGTTAGCTGAAAAATCAGCAGAAGTAGCTAATGAAATTTCGAAATGCTTAAATTACTAACTCCATTCGCCAGAGGGCATAATTTAAGTTTAAACATCTATTTTTAAGCGACCCCACTCTATGTGTATATGATACGCAAAGTAGCATCTTTCTCCGCGCCAAGGTACTTTTCTAAGTAGCTTCGCTGCCCGTCATTTTTAGCGATCGTTAACGTTACAGATTTTTCTCCCATCTTCTAAAATTGCCACGCGCGCTTTGCTTAAACGCGCTACGCGTATTCTACATATATGTATACTATACATATTATATGTCGCGTACACGTACGCGTACAGGTACCGAATTAAATAGTACGATTTTACTATTTACTAGCGCGCGTCGTTTCTCCGTAAAAACGTACATATAGGACAAGACCGAATCGAGCGACGAGTTAACGATCGAGAGAAAAGCGGATACGCGGTGAATACTCGAGAACCAAGCGCATCCTGTAAACTGTAAAGAGACGATAGCAGAGGGGTATACGAATCATGGAGTGTAAGTATCTCGAAGGAGATAATCACATACCATTTCATGGCTCCGAACAAGAGAGAAACTGGACGGTAAGTCTAGTAGTTTTAAGGGCGTAAAAAAGGTCGTGCCGAGTAGAAAGGTGGTTACACGCTGCGAAGGCGAAGGCGAAGGCGAGGGCGAAGGCGGCGACG